GTTGGGGTTCAACCTTTCTTTTTAATGATGTTGCTTTATTTTTTGTTTTAGATATTGATCAATGGAAAAGTTTGTTGTCAGAAAACAAAGACAGGGGCACAGTTTGATTACTAAAGAAAGTGATGATTCACTCCATTCTAAATATAGAATCATTGAAATTGATTTAGAAAGTCTTCCATCCGATCCGGGATTACGAAGTAAAATTTTAGATTATCATTCTAATGAATAATGATAGAGATGAAATCCAAAGAGTCTATTTGTTGAGAGGTCCTTGCCAACCACGTAGACACAAACTTTCGAAAACTAAATTTGAAAATTCATCTTGTGGGTTCTAAGTCAGAATGGTTTGATGAGTTTGGAAATTGGTTAAGAGTATAGCATTGAAAAGGATGCTGTTTTGTTTATGTTGCTATCTTATGAGAGTTGATGTTGGCGAGCAACAAACTGGATGTGAATTTTTTATTTCAGAGGGATTCTCTAATTGGAAGAAAAAGATAGACTTCGGGTTCATGTAGGAAACTTTAAAAGTGCTCATAATCTAGCTTGTAGAAAGTGTCAAAATCTAATGAATCAAAGGCAACTTATTGAAACGGTTTTTTCAAGACAATCTGAACAAGCTCGAAAGGAGTATCGAATTCGTTTTACTGCCCCAATAGATCGTGTTGGATATTTTTTACGTCTAGAATTAGCATTTCGTGGTCATGATGAATTTGGCGATTTAAGAAATTAATGTAAGTTTCTTGAACTTCTACTATTTCTTGCTAATCACAATAATGATATCAACAATGTTGTACTGGAAAATGCTCCGAAGAATCTTCAAGTAACAGCTCATGATATCCAAAGGGAAATTGTAAATACAGTAGCAAGTGAAACAACCAGAGCAATAATTAATGTTCTTGGAGATGATTTGTTTTCTATTTTGATTGATGAGTCTTGCGATGTCTCAGTTAAAGAACAAATGGCTATTCTATTATGCTATGTGAATGAAGAGGGAAGCATCATCGAATGGTTTCTTAGAATAGTTCGTGTTAATGATACAACTGCTTTATCACTGAAATTTGCAATAATCCATTGTTTTCGAAGCATGGATCTAGTTTGTCAAGATTATGTGGTCAAGACTATGATGAAGCTAGTAACATGAGAGGAGAATTCAATGGTCTTAAAAGTCTCATTTCAAGAGAAAATCAATTTGCTTTCTATATTTACCTTTTTGCTCATCAACTTCAATGACTCTTATTGTGGTTGCATAAAATCACGACCAAATAGCTCTTCTTTTAAACAATCTTAATAATTTGGTGAACGTGGTTGGCATTTCATGCAAGCGTAAAGACATTTTAAGAGAAGCACAAGCTGTTAAAGTTGTTGTCGGATTGACAGAAGTTGTTGCTATAGATGGTAAAAGTTTTGAGCAAAAAGGTGGAGCATATGATTTATTGAGTTCGATACAATCTTTTAAGTTTATATTCAACATGCATTTGATTAAAAATGTTTTGGGAATTACAAATGAGTTGTCACAAGCATTGCGAAGGAAAGATCAAGACGTTGTAAATGCTATGAAATTGGTTATATTATCAAAGCAACGTCTACAATAGATGAGGGATGATGGATGGAAATTGTTACTTGGAGAAGTTTCTTCTTTAAGTAAGAAGCATCAAATTGTTATCCCGAATATGGATGATGTTCATGTACTTCCAGGAAGGTCAAGACGTAATGCTCAACATCATACCACTATGCGCCATTATAAAGTTGAATTCTTTTATTGGGTGATTGATAAACAATTTCATGAGCTCAACCATCATTTCACAGGTAAATACCGAGCTACTTCTTTGTGTGGCATGTTTGAATCCAAGTAGTTCTTTCCATGCTTTTGAGAAGGATAAGTTACTTTGTCTTGCAAATTCTATTCAGTAGAATTTTCTGAACTTCATCTCTTGGCACTTGATAATCAATTGGGGACCTATGTACTTGATATGCGATCCAGTGATGAATTTTCAGAAGTGGATAGAATTAGTGGTCTTGCAAAGAAATTGGTTCAAACAAAAAGAAATGTTGTATATTAATTGGTGTATATGTTTGTGAAGGTAGCCTTGATTTTACCAGTTGCGCGTCTGAAATGGTTTATAAAGCATTTT